GATTGAGTTCCAGTTTCAAAGCAGTGTGGTGCAAAAATATGCAGGGAATGATCCCAGTCTCTTGGTACTGGTTGAGACCTGATTTGTGACCCAGGATGTGATCTATTCTGGAGAATGGTCCATGTGCACTTGAGAAGAATGTGTGTGTTCTGTTGCTTTAGGATGGAATGTTCTGAATATATCTGTGAAGTCCATCTGATCCAATGTGTCATTCAAAGCCCTTGTTTCCTTGTTGATCTTCTGCTTAGATGATCTGTCCATTGCAGTGAGTGGGGTGTTAAAAGTCCCCCACGGCTATTGTATTATTATTGATGTGTTTCTTTAATTTTGTTATTAATTCGTTTATATAATTTACTGCTCCTATGTTAGGGGCATAAATATTTACAGTTGTTAGATCTTATTGGATAGACCCTTCAGTTATGATGTAGTGTCCTTCCTCATCTCTTATTACAGTCTTTCTGATACCCTGTGTCTTTTGATTGGGCCATTTAACCGATTTTTTTTAAATTAAAGATTTTATTTATTTGAGAGAGAGAGAGACAGATAGTGACAGAGATAGCGAGAGAGAGCATGAGCAGGGAGGAGAGGGAAAAGCAGGCTCCCCACTGAGCAGGGAGCCTAATGCAGGGCTTGATCTCAGGACCCTGGAATCATGACCTGACTGAAGGCAGACGCTTAACTGACTGAGCCACTCAGGTGCCACCACTTAGCCCATGTACGTTCAGAGTAACTATTGAAAGATATGAATTTAGTGCCGTTGTATTACCTGTAAAGTCACTGTTTCTGTATGTTGTGTCTGTTCCTTTCTGGTCTATGTTACTTTTGTGCTCTCTCTTTGCTTTTAATATTTCTTGTAGGGCTGGTTTAGTAAACACAGATTCTTTGAGTTCCTGTTTGTCCTGGCAACTTTTTATCTCTCCTTCTATTTTGGAAGACATCCTAGCTGGATAAAGTATTCTTAGTTGTATACTTTCTCATTTAGCACCCTGAATATATGATGCTGGTCCTTTCTGGCTTGCCAGGTCTCTGTGGATAGGTATGCTGCCAGTCTAATGTTTCTACCCTTGTAGGTTACGGCCCTCTCGTCCCAGAGCTGCTTTCAGGATATTCTCTTTGTCTCTGAGATTTGCAAGTTTCATTATTATATATTGGGGTGTTGACCTATTTTTACTGATTTTTGAGGGGGGGTTCTCTGTGCCTCCTGGACTTGGATGCCTGTTTCCTTCCCTAGATTAGAGAAGTTCTCAGCTATAGTTTGCTCCAGTATACCTTCTGCTCCCACCCCTTTCCTCTTCTGGCATCCCAGTTATTCTAATACTGTTTTGCTTAATGGTATC